ACTTGTTGCTATTTGTCATCGTCGTAAGCATAGGTATAGAGAACTTCAATTATGTGATCAAGATGTAAGGGATTATCGGAGGAAGATGTGGATTAAATTATTAGATGATGAAAAAGTTTGCTTGCATCAACTTCGTGTTACTAGGCAAGCATTTAAGAAATTGTGTGATGTTTTAGTGGAGAAAGGTGGGCTAGTGGCTACAAGATATGTGACAATTAAGGAAATTGTAGCACTTTTCTTTCATATTCTCGCTCATGACCTTAAAAATAGTACAATTAGAAGTACTTTTGCTCATTCATCGGAAACAATTAGTAGACAATTCCATATTATTCTATGAGCAATGATGAAAATTGGAAAGTTTTACATTAAACAAAATAATGTATCCCTCCATAAAGTAGATGATAAATGGCAATGGTTCAAGGGAGCTCTTAGGGCATTTGATGGAACCCTTATTGAGATAACTGTACCTGCTAGTGAGCAAGGAAAATATCTAGATAGAAAAGGTAACTTGAGTACAAATGTTTTGGGAGCTTGTGATGCTAATTTAGAATTTACTTATGTGCTACCTTGTTGGGAAGGATCAGCATCGGATTCTCGTGTTTTACGTGATGCTTTGACCAGACGCAATAACTTAAAAGTTCCACAAAGTAAGTGTTATTAATTCAAGTTAATTTTACTATTTTTAACTCCTTGTATAAATTTGACTTTTGACAATTTTGGTTCTCTTTTATTATTTTTTTATGTAGATATGTATTATCTTGTGGATTTGGGCTACACAAATGGTCAAGGATTTTTGGCTCCTTATAGAGGAACTAGATATCATCTAAATTTGTGGAGAGGAAACACTCCAACTAATTACAAGGAGTTGTTTAACCTTCGGCAGTCTGCTGCAAGGAATACAATTGAAGCGGTTTTGGGTTAATAAAGAAGAGATGGGCAATTGTACGCCATGCTTGCTTTTATGATGTGAAGACTCAAATTAGAATCATCAATGCATGTTTTATCCTGCACAACTTTATATGAGATGAAA